GTGTAAATCAACTTTATGACAAAGGCTTCAAGTTCATCAAATAATGAATGTTTAATTAAGTCACTTATGAGGTAAAACTCAAAGGTATAAGAATAATCAATATTTTCTTATGTTCTATGTTGAATGATTAATGCATGTATATCATTTTATTATCTTTCACCCATCTTTCATTTCTTTTTGATAATATTAAAGGGGGAGAAATGTGTTATGTGTTATGCTTGTGTATTTTCTTCTCTTAAACTTATAATGTACAAATACTCCTTTAAGATGATCAAGTAAACATAATTGTAGGCTTCACATATTAATGGGGAGTTATACATCTTAGTGGGAGAAATCTTCCAAAAATTACAAAGCATTAAGAGGAATGTTTGTCATTATTAAAAAGGAGGAGAATGTGAAGTCAAGCTTCTCTATAATAAATATGTTTCAATGCAAACAATCTCTTAGTCACAAGAAAGCAAAGATGAACTTCAAAGTTAAAACATCATATTCAAATTCAAGCAATTACATTTCAAATTCAAAGCATCATGGTTCAAGGATTTAGATCCAAGTTATGGCATTTTAAGAATGTATAATGATAATATTTACCTTTACTAAAGTCTTAGATGCTCAGTTAATCAAAGAATCAATGCATAACATATCCTTGTTCATGGCATAAGTCTTAGGCTTATTTTTTCAATGTTTTAACTGAGTAAATCGATTTACACAATTAGGAATTTGATTTACCAAAGTAAGTTTTTGAAAAATTTAAACGTTACTACTGGGTAAATTGATTTACCAATATAGTAAATCGATTACCTCTATGTGAATTTGATAAAAACATTAACTCTTTCAACACCACTTCATGCACCACTTCATGGAACCATTTTGTTTCAACTTGACAATTGTTCATGATATTTTTGCATAACTTTACCATGTTTCATAGACGTTTTATACACCAATAAATACATGATTATTCAAATTTAGAATCACCTCGCCCAATCTAAGTTTTAGAAATTCAAAAGTTCACTTTTCAAATCTTCAACTTTTATTCAAAAAAATTTATGCATACTTTGATATCATTTAAACCAGAGAACTCTTGAGCAATATATCTCTTAAGTGTTTGTGAATTATTGTCATTAGAAGGGAATATCATTTAAATTTATATATCACTTAGAAGGATAATTACTTCAAACTTATCTATTCAAAAATAAATTCCAGATTTGGTTATATTCCTTGTTTTCAGGATTGTTGGATATAAAAGAGTAGAAGGAAATGATTGTTTTCTACTTATATGGTTTATTCCTTGCTATCCACGATTGTTAGAAGCAAGAGAGTTCAATTTGTGAGGATTGTTCTCATTTCAACTTTGTTGATCCTGGAGGATTGTTTTTGGTGGTATTGTTATTCGAAGATTGTAGGAGAAGTTTTGGTATAAGGCTTGTACAAAGATCTGTCAATAGTGAAATCTCTTTCGTGTTTAAAGGGGACTAGATGTACTCTTGGAATGTGAGGGGAACCAGGGTACATTCTTGTGCTCTTTACTTTTATGCATTTATTTCTCTTATCTTAAATCATAACTAGAAAAGAAAAAAATCACATTTCTAAACTCTTTCACCAAACGAAAAAAATAAGAACAAGTATTCTAAAACTTGATAAATTTTTAAATTTCTAATTTACCCCCTCCCCCTTCTTAAGAGCACTCCAAACTTACAATTGGTATCAGAGAAGGTTATAGATAACTTGTTCCTAAAGATGTATAATGGATTTGGCAAATGAAAATCTAGTTTTGAAAGACGGTGGTAGTAATAACAAGCCTCCATTGTTTTGTCGTGAATACTTTGATTTTTGGAAAATCCACATGAAGGCACATCTAGAATATCAAGAAAAAAGAGTTTGGAAAGCCTTTGTAGAAGGTCCTCACGTTCCTGTATGTGTTGTTAATGGTGCTGGCACTCCAAAGCCAGAAGGTTCATGGGATGAAGATGATGAAGAAAAAGTTCTTTACGATAAGAAAACAATAAATATTCTTCAAGGTGATCTTAACTTGGATGATTTATTTTGAGTTTCAGCATGCACAACAACAAAATAAATATGTGATACATTGGTAGAAACTCATGAAGGAACGGTTGAAGTTAAAAGATCTAGATTGAATATTTTTAAGTGAAGAGTACGATTTATTCAGAATACAGCCCTGAGAATCAATCCTCGAATTGTAAAAAATATTTGTGCACTTGGCAAATCATTTGAAGGCACTCAGTAAGAATTTAACTAATGATGAACTTAATCTTAAAGTGCTTAGATATTTATCTATGTAATGGCAACCAAAAGTGACGGTAATATTCGAAAAGAAAAATCTATCCAAAATGACTTCCGTAACATTATTCGGAAAACTTCAAGAATATGAGACGGAACTTAGAAGACTTGAAAATCATTAAATTAAAATGAAAGATTCAAAAGACATTACCTTAAATGTAAGACTCAAACATCATGGTAGAAATCAAGAGGATGAATCCACTAGTCAAGAAGATGATGATCTTATCAAGAAGTTTGAAAAGTTTCTAAGAAAAAAAGGAAAAAGGAGATCATTAAGAGAGAAGCACCAAAAATGAATATTACATGCTTTGAATATGGAGAAAAAGATATTATTAAAAGTGAATGTCCTACACTTGCAAAGAAAAATAAATATTTTAAAGGAAAGAAGGACAAAAGGCCAAAGAAAGCATAGGTAGCATGGGATGACAATAAAATAAGTTCATCTTCAGATGAAGAACATATAAATATTGCTTTGATAACTTCACACCACTTTGATGATGAATAAGAAGAGGTTAGTAATGAAATAACTTCTTATGATAATGATGCTCTAAATATAATTGAAGAACTACTTAATGAATGTAAGATTTTGTATAAAAATGTGTCATTTCAAAAGAAACAAATGTTATCTCTTGAAAAAAAGATTGACATCATGGAAAAGAATTTTGAAGTTTAAAAACAAAGTTTTATTGAAAAAAATAACAAAATCTTACATGCAAAGAGTGTAGTTCATTTTCTTTTCATGTCGTTCAATTAAAGAGAGTCCTTGAAAGATATGAAAAAGGACAAATTTGGTTGGACAATATCCTTAGTCAACAAACGTACTCAAATGCTAGAAGTGGTCTTGGTTATTCAAAATCTAAAACAATTACTAGTAAAACTGTCTTTGTTAAGACAAGTGAACGATGCCCTAGAAAAAGGTGAATATGGCACAAATGGTTCATCATTATCATAAGAAGAGATTTCCTAAAAATAAATCATATGTTTCTAGATATAGAAGTAACTTTGTTCCTACATGTTTTATTGTGGCATAAGTGGCCATACACCTAATACTTGCTATGTTATAAGCTTTAGTATGACAAGTAGGCATTTTGCATGGGTTAAGAAGGGAACTAACTATGATGAACCCAAAGCATATTGGATATTAAATCAAACTTAATTTATTATGTAGGTTCACTTGAGGATCACTTAAGATCTATGCTATTTTGATAAGTGGTGGTTCTAAACATTTGATGGGGGATATAAACTAACTCTTAAATCAAGCTATAAAGTCCAAGAGTTATTCCAAAAATGGGGAATACTTTAAGGCAAGAATTTTTTGCATGAGAAAAATTGAAGCACTAACTTTCACATTCATTCAAAAAAAAATAACTCTTTCGACACCTCTTCATGCACCACTTCATGGAACCATTTCATTTCAACTTGACAATTGTTCATGATATTTTTACATAACTTTACCGTGTATCATAGAGGTGTTATACACTTATAAATATATTATTTTTGAAATTCAAAATCACCTCTTCCAATCAAACTTTTAGATATTCAAAAGTTCACAATTAAAATCTTTAACTTTTATTAAAAGAATTTTCCGCATACTTTCATATCATTTAAACCAAAAAAATAATGAGAAATCTATCTCTTAAGTGTTTGTGAATTATTGTCATTAGAAGGAAAAATCAATTACATTGATATATCACTTAGAGTGATAATTACTACAAACGTATCTCTTCAAAAATAATTTCCAGATTTGGTTGTATTCCTTGTTTTCAGGATTGTTGGAAACAAGAGAGTAGAAAGGAAATAATTGTTTTCTTGTTCTACTTGTTTGATTTATTCCTTGCTATCCAAGATTGTTGGAAGCAAGAGAGTTGAGTTTGAGAGGATTGTTCTTATTTCAACTTAGTTGATCCAAGAGGATTGTTCTTGGTGGTATTGTTGTTAGAAGATTGTAGGAGAAGTCTTGGTATAAGGCTTATACAAAGATCTAACAATAGTGAAATCACTTTCGTGTTGAAACGGGACTGAACATACTCTCGGACTGTGAAGGAAATCAAGATATATCCTTGTGTTCTTTACTTTTTCGTATTTATCGCTTTCATCTTAAATCATAACCAGAAAAGAAAGAATCACATTTCTAAACTCTTGCATCAAACAAGTAAATACTCTCCCTCCCTAATAGAGGGAGTGTTTACTTGTTTGATGCCATTATATATATATAGTTTGCACCCATTTAATTTTAAGTAGTTAAAAATAAAATCAAAAATAATTTATAAACAACACTATATAATCTTCAGTCCAATAAAAGATTTTTTAGAGTAGTAAAAATAGTAAATGAGTTACACTGAAATTAGATGTAACAATCATGAAAATAAAACATAAAAGATATGAAATATACACAAACTACAAAATAAAAATGTATTAAAAATAAGAAAAACATTATATTAAGTAGATTACACCACTTATATAAAGAATAATAAGTAAGTAACTAATAACACTTTATTAACCAATTACACAACAAACTATACTAACTAATTACAAAACCAATATGTAAAACTAATCTTTGAGCATGTAGAGTATGAGTTAAGTGTCCACTCTTGTTTTAACTTTCAACATATGAATCTATATTTAATGCTCTTGTGATTGTACTTCTAATGTTATTGGAATATTTTCTCTCAATTCTATACCAACATTTCTAGATGAAGCACTTTCTATTCTTCTTCTTCTTCCATTGTTACATATGTATCAACTTTTTTTGCACCATGAGAACAAACCCTAGATCTACAAATTGGACAAATGGAATTCTCCAAAAGCCATTTATCCACACATTGAGCATGAAAACTATGCTTACAAATAGGCAACAATCTACACTTATCTCCAATAGTAAAATTCTCCAAACAAATTGCACAATCCAAAGTGTTACTTGTATTTTCTTTAACAACATAATCATAACACGGAAGCTTCTCCAAATCAATTTTGGAAATTCTTCTTTTGCTCCTATCAATCATTAATCCTCTTCTAGAAAACCACTCAATTAAACATGCATGAAATAGAATCAAGATAACAATTCCCACAAATATTAATACTAAAGTTACAATAACTTCCATTCTCAACACTAGAAATATTCAAACCATGAATTCACAATCTTGTATATTTTTCAACTAAATAACATTGCAAAAAAATATTAATGCATCTTAAAATTGAAACCTTTCTTTGTTTTCACCTCTTGATTCTTGAATGAGTAGATTCTGCTTCTGGATTATCATCAAATGTAGCAAGAAACTAGTATATGAATAGTTTTTTTTCTCTAGTTAATAGTGAAGAGATTGTGTTGTAGAAACTCAAGATTTTCATTTAAAAGAAAATAATAAATTAGGAATGAATTATATTTATATATACAAATTGGTGGTTTGTGTATTAGGTGATTGGAATGATGATGGAGTGGGTGGGAAAGTAACCACTACCTGTTTTACAAGTGATAGCAAAAAAAATCACGGTTAGCTTATAATTTAAAGCTTTTCCTTTTTATCTCTTTTACTTTTTCTCTTTAACTTACTTTTCTTCTTTTGATTTTGGCAGTATGTACCTCTTTTAGTGTTCTCATTAACATGAGACAAAATAATAATTAAGAGTATTGTTTCATGAAGGAAAAAATAATCACTTTTTATTTAGGTGCGATAGAAGAGGTTTATTACTATAGTTTGGTGCGTAAGTGTTAAACATTTATAGTAACACTTTTAGGCTTTACTTATATAGTCTTATTAGACTTTGGTTTTCATTTAAAAATATATCGAAATTAATTTTAAAGAGGTAGAATTTATTATGTCTCAAATTATTTATTTGAAATTAAAATTTTTAGCTTTTAATTTTAAATATAATTTTTACGTTGAAATTTATTAATGAACTCATTTTACATTAACGTATTCAAACATTAATTATTCTATATATAATCAACTCACTTTTAATTAGAATTGATTTTTACCACCATAGAATCAAACACATGTTTAGAGGAAAAGAGATATATCTTAATGAAATAATTATCTATATTTTGTTTTTATGGTTACTTATTGTCTTATTCCGTATTTGTCTAAGATTCAAATGCGTGATTGTTATTCATATATGTTTCATGGGTCGAGGTTGAGTCATCTTTATGCCTTAAAGCTAAGTTAATCTCATAACATAATATCCTATCCAAAATGTAGAGCATTTACTAGTTATGTTAGATGTTGTTTTCCATCTTTTGTGTTTTGTACGTAGTTATTATCAAGTCGACTGAGTTTATTCTATGCAACATAAATGTAGGAAACATTGATGATAAATGTACAATGTACTCCAAAAACGAGGCCAATGAGGGGAGAAGTTCCTTAAGGCTTATGCTTAGGGTTGTGATGCTCGTGCCTCAAGCACGGGACCTATAAAGGATAAATGATTTTTTTAAGAAATATATAATTTGTCATAGTCCTTAAAGTACGAGACTTGTAAGGGTAGAGTATTTTTTTAGGAAAAGATAATTTTTTTATAGTCTCTCAAGCATGAGGTATGTAAAGATGGGATATTTGAGGGTGAAGACAAAATAATCTGGGATCCCTGAATAAATGAAATGATTTGCGGGAGAAACGTTTGAAAGCGATGCAATGATGTTTCCTCTTATGGATTTAAGATTGAGTTTGATTGTGGCGATCCAAATAGATATGATGTTTAAATCCTAGTTAGCGAGTCTAACTAAGATACTAAGTATGTTATTAATGGTTAAATGGTTAAAAATACCTTGGGAATGACTATTTAATTTGAGTCGTCCCCCGATTTGTGGGCATGCAATCAGAACCATTGATATTTTGTTATACCAATGATGACTATAAACTACTGACAACTACTCGATCTATAGGGATTTTTCCTATAATACAAGTGTGTTGAATTTCCATTTTTATTGCACCTTCTCTCATAATCATTTCACCCAGCAATTTCGTATTGTGGCCTTATGACAGCTTTTACAACCTCATTTATTCTCCTTTTCACATGAAGTCTTACCATAGGTATTGTCTTCTTGTACTCTTTGGTCTCTTTTTAGCTGTCGTGTTGAGAATTTGGTCTTTCTTAGAGATTGTGATGCTAGTGATAATGTGGTTGGGCCTAATACTCGTGAAGGGAAGTGGAAGTTTTGGCGTTGTTGTTGTGAGAGTTTAAGGCGGGAATATGGAAAAGTGAATTAGATATTTCTTGAAATTGTGATGTCTGAGAGATATAATAGTAGTTCAAGTATCTGTAATAGTGAAGAGAATAGTCATATTCATGTTTTGGTCTCTTCTTACCCAAGATTAGAGAGGCCCCTGATGATGACTTCAGACATGTGTTCAGGTGTCTTCTATAGTGATGTGACATGCATTAACTCTTTATTTAATAGTTTGGTGATGGTTAAATATTTTCGTAAATATTTTTCTTTTTCATCCATTGGGAGTGAAGATGATGTTTTGTTGCAGCCCTACATGGACAATGAGAATACCAATATGAGGCATCCTCAAGGGATTGAGGGAGACTACTTATAGGGTCGATAACTAGTTTAGGGGTGAGAATCCCTTTCACCCCTTCGAGGAAGACGTCTTGAAGGGGATCATTTCCATCCCCTTGCAACTTCATCCAAATAGGAGGTTCTTAATGAGGACCTTGAGATTACGCATATAGAGACTTTTCTTTTCATTTTATGGGAAGAAGATTTTGATAAAGGAGCTTAGATTTTTCTAAGTTCCCTTCCTAGTTGAGGTCTACTCACCCTTTACTCGTCGAACTACAAAAATTAGAAAGATAAATTTGTTCGAGTTTGAGGAGGTATTGATTGTACGAATATTATATTCAAGTTATTATGTTTCTACCATGATAGACTTTGTGAGGCAGAAAAGGATGATGATTAGTTCTTAGAATAATTACGTATTTTGAATGTTAGAGAGTTGTTAGAATGTAAACAGGACAAGCTTTCAATTGATATTTTTTTATGTATGTGTGTCTTATTCATATCTCCTATAGTTTTTAATTATTTATTCTTCTTTTAAACCTTAATGTTTTTATGTAGAAAATATAATTCACTTATCATTTTCAAAAAAGAAAAATGTTGTTTGAGAAAATGAGGGAAAAGAAGGGCAGTGCAGGGGGGCGCTACTAAAAAAACCCTTATAGTTTATTGAATCATATCCCGAGGAAGAGAAAACCCTTTAATAATAGGAATATCGTTTAGGTTGTGCCTACAAGTATGGTGAGACCTCCGCTAATGGACACTAAATATTATCCTAAGGCCAAGAAACATAAGGCTAGCTCGGGAAAGGTTTCTATTAACTTGGAGGAAGGCGCCTCATTAGACCTAGAAAACGGAGCCTCCCTGTATGATGGTATGATAGGTGTCATACCCTAATTTTTATCCCTAAGATTCCATCTATTGATCATTTGCATTTCATCAAGATCACAAGCATTGTATTCTCATAACCTTTGGGTTAGTCTTGTAGGATAGATCTCCAAGCACCCTTGTTTTTATTTTTTCTTATATGCTTTTATCCTTTTATGCTTTACTAACCCTTATTCAAAATACAAAAATGTGTCTTACTTTATTTTCTTTTTGTGCAAGGTAGGTTTTCCAATCAAAGGATCAAGTGTGGTTGCTAAATTAGGGTTTTGGTTCTCAAGCTCAAGATTTTGTAAACAAGTGGTCTATCAAAGCATATTCTTCAGGGCATGGCCTATAATCTTAGGTACATTTCATCTCAACCTTCATCCAACATTGTTTGATCAAGAGAAGTTTAAGTTGGATGCATGATTTTCAAGTTGATTCAAGTATGGTTCATGTGGTTATTTCCATGCCATCTTCATCAATTTATCAAAAAAATGTCAAGTATCTTCAATGCACAATTAATCTTTCTTCATGTTGTGTTCAAATGATCAATATTGAGCCTTTGGATGCAAGAAAAGTCAAGAAAAGTCAAGTTAGAAAATGGTTGGTTGACCTAAAATTCAAGTATGGCATGTCATTTGGTACAACGAGCATAACTTCTTCATTTATTAACATTTTTGAGACCTTATTTAAGTCAAATGTCCCTTTTGATGTCCTCTAAAAATTTGCTTCAGATGTCAAAGATTAATTCTGGCTTTAAGTCCATCAAATTGTGAAATTACTCAAAGGCCACATTATGCACAAAGTTAGTTCACGACATGTTTCACCTAATGCTAGACCAACAAATCAGTGCCACGACCTCAAATTCACATCAATTCCATTTTTAACTCAAGCATCCTTTTGTCTTGGTTATTTTTGCATTGAATTCTTCTCCATGAGAAGAACATTTGGCCTGAAGAAAATCTCAAAACACACGAGTGTATTCTATTTGGCATAAGCTTGTACATGGTGACCTGACTCTGCTTTTTGGTACATGACCCGTAATTGGAAATGACCTAAACTTCACTTGGGACCACCCAAACCATGTGAAAACTTGTACCTTATTGCAAAACGCGTCCCCACTACACAAAACAACTTGAAATTGATCAAAAAATCACGCATTTCGTGCTTCATTTCACACGGATTGCATCTAGAATTTTCTCAACTTGGTTCACATGTTTGGGATCTCATTTGACATCTACCATGACCTCACTCCCTTTCCTATAAATAAAGCATCATTTTTTCTTCATTGTAAAGCTTTGAAAGCCACAAAACCTCTACCATTTTCACTCTTAACAAGCTCAAAAACTAGAAACCCTAACTTTGTTTTTAGCTTGATTTAACTCTAAACCTCTGCCCATAAACCTTCATTGGCATCATCTGAAGCTATTGGAAGCATTACATAAGTTCAACACTTTCTGCAACCTTCAACTCGATCTCACCATTTTCATACCTTCGAAACTTCCTTGAACAGGTAGATACGAGTAAAATCTCAGCACAAATAAGTTATCATTCACTTCGTCTTGATCTTCTGGTGCTAAGCCCTCATTTACCTTTTATTTATCTTGCATATTAATCATTTATTTTTTCTTTGAA